ACCACAGCTGGGCAACGCGAGGAAGCCTGAATTGCCTGGGTCCAGTAAGGCTCCTTGGTCTCTGGCTCCATTCTAAGACCTTCGCCGACTCACCCACTAATTGCATCTCTTGTCCCCACCAGCTCAATAAAAAATAAGTCAAATCTAATTATAATTTTAATTTCTTTTGAGATGGATTCTTGCTCTGTCACCCCAGGCAGGAAGTGTCGTTGGTGCAATCTCAGCTCACTGCAACCTCGCCTCCGATTTTCAAGCGGATCCTTCTACCTCGTCAGCCTCCCAAGTACTGGATACCAACAGGCACATGTCACATGCCCAGCCTAATTTTTGTATTATTTTTGTAGAGAACACGCGGTTTTGCCCATGTTGCCCAGGCTGGTCTCGCAATCTCCTCCGAGCCTCAAGCTCAGGATCACACCTGCCCTCTCAGCCATCCAAATTGCTGGTTACAGCTGCTGAAGCCACCATGCTCAACCTACAAATTTTAAGTATAAACTCCGGGTGGTTACGGTCGCACAGCAGAGGAGAGATACTTGCAACACCGCCCGCAATCACTCATCTTAAAACAAAAATTTGGCAGGAACAGATGCTACGCTCTGTCAATCCAGCACCCTTGGCGAAGCCGAGTGGGCGCGGATCAATGCGGCGTCAGCGACGTCTTGAGACACCAGCCTGGCCAATAAGGTGAAAGCCCATCTCTAACATAGAAATACAAAAATTAGCAGAGCGTGTGGGTGGCGCTGTGCCTGTAGTTTCTAGCGCTCCGGAGGCTGAGGCCAGAAGAATCGCTTAAACCCAGGGAGGTCGGAGGTTTGCAGTGAGCTGAGATCCGCGTTCACTGCAACTTCTCAGCCTGGGCGATAGAGGCGACGACTGCGTGGTCTCAAAAAAAAAAAAAAAAGTGATGGGGAATCTGTGTTCCCATTCTTGATGAAACATAGCTTCATCTAAAGTTCAGTTCGGAATACTCCCCCCCAGTTCACCAGCATAAAATACTAATGCTAATGTACCTCATTCGTTTCCTTGAGCGAGGACCAAGGACGGTGCCACAGTGATCCCTTTTGCTTTTTTTCTATGACGCTTACTCCCCTTGTTGACATATTTGACCTGTTGTTTTACTAAAATAAATGAAAGCTGTATGAAGTCATATCGGGTATAGGGCCCCTTGAGATGCTGTCACCTCCATAAATGTCAAGTTGGTGGGCAGTAAGTGGCATGATAGGAAATTGAGCTCTGAGCCTTTAAATCAGGAACTCTGGGTCATCTGACTCTGGCTTTTCGCTACAGAACTAAGCTGTATGAATAACACTTTTATTTTTTTTTTACTTGATGGTCGCTGGACTGTTCTAACTGCTTATAAAATCAGTGTCCTTAAAATTTTGGTACAAATATGCAGTTTTTACTAATGGGATTATTCTCATACGATATTGGTTCTAAATCTTGGCTTTTCTGTTTTTTCTTTAACACATATCCT